ACATGTCAATGGCTGTGAACAAAGAGAAACTTGTAAATAACTCATGAAAGAATAACATTACCAATAAGTTTGATGTGTCACATGGCCCTCTTCCTATTGGAAAAACAAAAGTTGTATCCAAGATGGCCGACTTCTAAATGGCCACCATGGTCACCACCCATCTTGTGGAGTTTGTCCCCTCACATACACTAATGTACCACAAACAAGACTTTAATATCACCAACCATTCCCATGTTATTACGGTGTATCCATATAAATGGCCCACCCTGTACAGTAACAAGCCTGTTTTGTTAACGTAGAAAGTAGAGTTATCTTTTTGTTAAAATGCAGGGAGTAAAAGTAAAAAGCTGACAGACAAATAAATAGTCAAGCAAAGTAAAAATACCTGAAAAGTACAATAAAGCTTTGATTATCCTCTGTTGCAGATGCAGACAGCTGGAGACCTGAAGACCGGGTAATCATTCCAGATATACTTCTTTGAAGTCTGCCGCCTGAGCGGATGCATGGTCGGCGCATTGTAATGTAAATTCTCCACAGGTCACAAAAACAGGCGGGCATGCGGACGTCCGCTCACTGTTTGATGTCAAACTTTACGTCTGAATGGGCTCTAGCCCATTCAGAGACCTGAATGGGCTCTAGCGAACACACTGACAGCAAAAGTATAATCAAGGCTTAAGAAAGTATTTGTACTTGATTATTTTCCCACCTCTGCATGGTGCGCTACATAGCTCCACTTCATGTCTCAGAACTCTTAAACTATTGAAAACCCAACTGTGTATACTGGGTTTTATAGAACATTTATAATGTCTTCTCAAAAGTTTTGCTAATGCCTTTTGTTTTCTTCTCAGTTTATGTATTTTTAGTATGTGGCGAGACTGCATCTTTAATTTGATTATCTAAAAAAAAATCTGTGCCCATAAAGAAACACATTTCTGTGATGCACCGTGCAACTGTAGTTTCGAAAGGTGTACTGAAAGTAGTAATAGTTTAAGTTGTTACTACAATTCTGATTTTTCAGTGATTTAAAAATCGGCTCATATTTTTTCATTGCGACAGAAACAGACGGATTTACTAACATTTGTTATTTATAGTTATTTATTTACTCATTTACGTTTTGTCTGACTGTGCTTATTGGTGTTTTATTTTGCAGAGTGCCCTCTAGTGGACAAACTGTGCAACATTAACGCTCATAACATGGTTGAAAGGCGTTCCTCTTGTCTCTTCTTTACTTTTACATTTTTATTTATAAATGCAGGCAGCTATAGATCAGTAAATATCTGATATCGATCGGTAACATCGGTCCACTGATAAATTGGGCTGTAGTTGTTTGCAGTGTCCAGTTTCCAGTCAGATCCACTCCTCAGGAAGTACAAGTTGAAGTTTCAAAATAAGACTTCACTAATCTGGATGATGTCACTATCTTTTGTCCATCTTTTACATACAGCCTATGACTGCACCACTCTTTTTTTCTGCCTTGTAATCGGTTGATAACATTATTGGGAGATTACTTTTGTCAGCTCCCTTATTCACAACACGTTCCCACAGTTTTACACTGCATGCCCTTCCTCACACAACCCCAAGAAGATCTCTGTCTCCTCCCAAGATTAGACTGGGGATCGTTTGCTTTTTAGGCAAATGTAAACCACCACACTATGTAGCACCTCGGTTGATAACATGAAAAACAAGTAAAGATAGTTATTCCCATACAGCTAGTCTTCTTCCCTTCCACTAAGATATGGATAATGGCACAGTTATTGCAACAGTAAGGATAAATTACCACACACAAGACCCACAATATTGTCCTTTGTGATATGGAACCTGAACACCTCATCATACATTACACAGTGCTTCAAATCATACTCACTGTTCATGTATAACAAAGTGTTTTCTTCCTTTATTTTGCAGCAGTGTATCAATCTGGCTCAAGCTCAGACAGTCTGGCGTTAGTATTCATAGCTTGTAGCCAAATCCAAACTTTTCACTGCAATCTTGTGACATGCAGCCCCGGAATCTATTTGATAACCCGCCACGAATAGGTGTTCCCTGCTTTGTCTTTGAAAAGTGATTGAAATTCCTCACACCTACACCCACTCATGCGCCTACCACCACAGAGGCACACAACAAACCTTACAGAATGCAATAAACCTCAAAGGATGGTGGTCTAAAACATAACTGTACAAACTAGATGTGAAAAGGAGGAATGTGGGGGGGCCAGAGCCGTGTGAATTTTCCATGTTTGGTGTGTTGTTTTCGAAACATCGAGCAGAAGCAGAAAATAGGATGTTTTTTTGTTTTTTTACAAAATGCAATTTATCAAGGTACAGCATGTGTTTTAGAAGCAACAGAATTAATAATCTCGTAAATTGTGCTTCCGTTTCATTTAATGAAGTTTATGAACAAGCATTGTGATTAACGCAGTGATTAAATACTTCTGCAACAAAAACATAAACCAGGATTTGGAAACAAAGCACGGAGTACAGAGTGAAACGCTCGTTACAGCACATATCTGATTCATGTCGGAAAAAATGGAAGAAAATATCTTTCACCTTTTGAAAAAAAAAGAAGAGTAAGTAATATCAGGTGGTTCATACTTGCCTTATGGCTTTACATTTTAGATTTACCGCCACAGTGGTGCAGCTTAATTCTCTTCTCCCTGAAGACTTCACTGACATTTTCCAAGGGCTTGCTTTCAAACTCTACTTTGATTAGTCAAGCAGATTTTAAAAGGAACTAATCCCCTTCCCTTCGAATTTTCTCTCTTTTTTTTATGAAGCAGTCAGCAATAAAGTCAGCAATAATACACAGTAACACAAACGGAAATCTGAAAATGATGCCTATATCTGGCAACAAACAGGGTGCTGATGCTGGTAACTGATCATTACAAGTGCAAAAGCAATGTCGTCTTAGATTTTACTCTGTTCATTAGAGTCACTTCAAAGGAAAGTACTGCTTCGCTCGGAAATTGTCTAGAGACTGCTGATAGTTAGCTATTCACTTTAGCCTTGACACATTACTGAAGGCAAACCGCTTTAAAAGAACATTTGTGGAATAGCTAAGTTTTTCCAGCACCACGTAAACATACATCTCGAACCTCTACTCCCACTTAAAGTCGTGCCCCACCATTTCATAGAACTTGACATTATAAGGTCGATAGAAGTCTCGCAGTTGCTCAATAGCGTCTCGGTCTATCTGCACATGAGTCCTCCCCTTTGACTTGCCAAGGCAGCGGGGCGAGCCGCTGCTCTCCGGCTTTTTAAGGCAGGGAAAACCCTTGGTGCGGTTGAAATAGAAGTGCTTGTCGGTGACGATGCGTTTCAGCCCAAGAAAGTCCTGCACCCGAGCCATCTCCCCTGCTGGGTCTGTGATGAGACGCTCTCCGCTCACAAAATGGATCTGAGCCAGAGGGAAGTAGTGGAGCCAGTTTTCAAGGTGCAAAGCATACAAGCCGATCCGAATGGCGTTCCAGGACATGTCAACGATTCCCAGGCTCTGATTCCTGAAGGCCAGGTCCTGGAAGCTCGGCAGGTCCGGCGTTTTGGATAACGTCTGAGTGTAGTCCGATATTGCTCGAGTGACGGGGTCTCGCACCACCACTATGAGCTTGGTGTCTTGGGACATGGTAGAAATCCGGTGTGGTGTCTCTTTTGTCACAAAGTAGCTCGGTGTCTTCTCCATTGTGATTTGGCTTTCAAGAGTTCTTGGCATTAAACCTCTGAATGAAAGATGAAAACACAGAATAGACGTTTCTCATTTACATTCGTGTTAATTTAGGATTTCTTTTAAAAAATACTAAACATTTGAGCGCTTAAGCAACCTTAAAAGCTAACAGGTTCACAAGCAAAGGTCACAATGCCCTTTCATTTCATTTGTCAAAGTAAAGAAAAAAACCTATGTAACATATCTATTTAGGGCAGGATTACACAAGTGAGTTGTGAAGGCATAAAGCTACCTTAAGTGAGCTTCGGTTTGGCCGTGAACTCAATTTCTTGATGAAAATCATAATAGGAGCACTGAAACAAAGTTGTAGTAGTCTGTTGTCACTGGAGACTTGTCTCACAGACAGCTCTCCTGTGCATCAGGCCTGCATGTTTCAGGAGTAATAAATCACCAAGAATGCAAACAGAACACGTATAGCAGCGACTCTGTTCGGTGACTTCTGGGTCTTCAAACTAGGCCATTCTTTACAGAGGTGATAGGAACAAGCAGGGCTTTGCTGAGAAAAACTTGAAGATTGATCGGAAGTTCTAGAGGAGAGAGCGGTTAATGATTATTTTCATTGTCAATTAATTTGCTAATCTTTATTTCACTTCTGTTTTTTCCCCAACTAATCCATTTCAAAACCTGTATTTTTTCCAGTGGTCACCAAAATGACTTCTCTCTTTTTATTATTAACAGTCTATAAGACTCAAATTTGATTCAAAACCTTAGGAAATATTTTCTGATCAGTTATATGACTAGTTTTCACTCTTTATTGCTGTGGCGCATTTACATTAAACAAAAAATCTGATAAAGGATCTTTTTGGTGTGGATTTGGTGCAATTTCCTCAATTTTTCAGTCAGAGCAACTCCTTGCTTGTCAAGATGGCATCAAAAAGCCAGTGGGTGGTATCATGTTGTCTACATCCATCTTTTATATACAGTCTATGGTTCTGTTAAGGCGCTTCTTTCAAACCATCCATTTAAGTGATCTGAGGTTGTATTTATTCTATCATTAGCTGCAATTTTTCAAAGAATGTTAAAATCTAAAAAACAAAAATAAATAAATAAATGGCAACAATACTAACAAGCTCATGGACATATGACAACATCAAAATTGACAGCAAATTTGTCTCAGCTGTAGAGACATGGCCAACCATCTGATGCTTAGTAAGATCACTTCAGACATCTTTATTCCTTCTTCTTGTTATTTTTGCCTTTGCATAGACATTGAAAAAAACATGTATGTGGCACAATCAATTAGCAAATTCAAGGTGTCAGTCCACACCGTTCATTTTGATTTATGAACGAATGTTTACAAGGAAGCTTCCGGGAAGCAGCTGTTTTATTTTGAAAGCAATCGGCGTCTGACCTTTTCTCAACGGCTTTGACAGCTGACAATCAACCTGCGGTAATGGGCGAGGGTTCACATCTGGAAGACACATCTCTGAGATAAAAGGGCTTCAACTGCCAACCATTGTGAAGAGTGCCAATTAGTGGAGATACTTTGAGTCTGTAATTATTATATAATACTACTGATACACATCCCTCCTGCAGCTTACATGACAGTCTATCATTAACATGAAATGCTCTTGAAAGAACCGGGGGATAAATACGAGAGCGCATCTCTGCGTAATTGCTCGTCTGTTACTGTATGCATGTGAGTGTGTGTGTTTTTTCATTTTATCATCAGCTAAACTTGTGTTTGCATACATACGCTTCCTCTAAATCTGTGCAATTATGTGCATGTTTAATTTATGGCTATTCGGTTTGATCATCAGTCAATCGAAGCAGTTTGTTAGGGATGCACTTTGTCCCTCCGCCAGGGTGAGAGCTGAGGATGTAGGTGATCAGTACAGTTTGATCACCAGTCAGAAAGATTACACCCCCCCC